ATTTTGATGAAGGAAAAATATTTTCCGAGCACAATATAACGGCTTTGTGAATAGACCTGATGACATTCCATGGGTTTCGGGTTTCAGTCCTCTTCATTCCAGCTTCCGTGCATCTCAGCTTTGGTCCCAAATTATGTCCCGGTTTAGTAATACTGCCATGAAAGCGCTAGCAAGGGCGTAATAGATCTGGAGATTTCCAACGTAAAAGAGCACGTGAACAATAGCTTAAACCTGCAGTTGAACGGTCATCACTATGTATTTCGAGTTACAACGTTTAAAGCGAGTAGATAAGCGGTTGGTTGGGGCCTATATGCAGATAGTTGCGGATGGGCATGGCTATAGTTGTGCAGATAGGTTACGTATATGGCTTTGCAAGTTTTAAGCGCGAAAGGCTCTGACGTCGACTTAACAAACAGTTTGTATCGCAAGATACCCGGGCCAACCAGGTCAGTAATTATTTTGGCAGACTTCGTGAGTTATGATTACCAGCCTACCGATATTCGGTTTTCAATGCAAGTAGCATAATGCTTTACAAGCTATAATTACATCATTTTGAGATGTTTGCATGCTAAACCGAGTGAGCGGGTGGTGCATCTCCGCTGTATACCTATGCAACTGCGTGCAAGACTGGATCAACGGGTGGTGCATCTCTACTACATACCTATGCAACCAAAATTATGCTTTCTTATCCGACTAGCGATGAAAATGTGAAACTAGCAATGCGCAAAAAAGCTGAAGGGCAAGACCGGGTCCTGATCTGCTCAGAGTTGCAACGGAACGAGGCTCACCGTTTGGCGGAGAGAACAGATAACCCTAGCTTGTTGAATTTTCGACTACATAATATTCATTATCTTAGCCGGTTGTTCAGTTGAACATCTGCCAGCCAGACGGGTCTATAGTTTTGTGCCTGCTTGAGAATTTTGAAAAATGATACTGGTGGGTATGGATTGTCTGCACCTCTCAAGAAATGTTTTATTCATCCTGTGTCGAAAATCTGTACGTCTGGTTCATGGCAAGCCTGTCCAAAAGGACGCGAGTGAACGTCAGCATAGAATGTTTGCTTCTCGATCTCGTGCCGCATTTATGCAAGCGCAACCGTTTTATGAATGCTGATATTGGTCATTCGATTACGATCAGAGATTATACCAAACGTCCACGCCACCCATGTCCAAATCACAATGGCGTTCTAAATTGATATTTGGTAGCAAATTGGGTTATCGAACTTGATTTATGCTCGCGTCTCTTTCGTCGGGAGTTCAGCTTGCTGGGATTTCAAAGTTTGTATTACGATCTCATGGTAGGCCAAGCAAACCCTGGGTTACGCTAGCGTGGCGTCGCTACCCGACACTGCGAGCTGACTCAAGTGTTGAAATATGTCCCATGCTTGATTATTTGAAACTGCCTCTGGCTGAGCAGACATGATATGCGTCATAGGCGTACTAATTCAATGCTAGATATCATAGGTCACGCTAAGTTGCTGCAAATTTCGTTGACTTCACATTGGTGGGCTCATAGTTGCACGAAACAAGCTTTTCATAGCCAGTCAGTGGTCAACGAAAGGGACGTGTAACTCGGCTGCTCTAAGTAGTCCTGGAACCCCATTTGATCTATAGATCAGGCATAACTATCAAGCGACGGGACATGACCATCAACAACTCGATGCAAGTGGTTTGAGAATGGTTGAAGAGTTGTTTGTGTAGACGTGACCCTTTCCTGTCAATTCCGTAAAACGTATCAGCGCCCAAGCTGTGAAACACCTGCAAACGACGTTCAGACCTCGTGGTGCGACTCAACGTGGGATGCTGCGTGTGGAGTGGAGAATCACTCATGGGCGCAGGAACGGGTTGGAGGAGGGGCAGTGGGTGCCATGGCACCCCGGCTTGCGAAGAAGGGTGAGCATTAACCCTGTTGCGAGACGTGTAAAAAAGTCAACTCCAGAATCAGTTTTGGCACCTCCACTTTCTGCGGCACTCCTTCGTGTAGGAAGTGTTTTAAAACCTGTGTAATAAACTAGGTCAACCTTGCGAATTTAACAATGTGCAATACGGGTTTGCCGAATGATCTAGGATAAGGAATTCCTGTGATAGAAAGAGCGGAACGCATTTGCGTGAACTGCCCTGTGAGGGTGTAGGTTTTGACGTCACAGCTGGCGACGCCACACAAGAACGACTCTACCGCAAAGCGTAGGGGATGCTCTGATGAACTTGCCAATGATGGTACAAGCGGCAGTTTGGGTGTGGTGTCTGGCAATACTGAACGGGACTCATTCTGACCTGTAACATTGGCGTGCGTCGCCATTGGCAACAATATACATACTTATGCACGGTGTCCTCTCCCCCAACGGTCTTGCCAGAGGCTGTAACTTACGATGTGAAAGGCAGCTCCGCCGCACACAGACAACTGATGAGATACGCTTACCTGTGACGCCATAGGGACCAGTGTGCGGGCGGCGTCGCCAGTGAGGAAGGCAAACGTGGCCGTAACGTCCACCACCCCGTGCTGCCTCGCACATAGTGTGAAAAACAACTGGACACTTAATAAAAGGCAGTTTATTGATGCACAGAGGCAGTTTTAACTCAGTGATAGTGCTGTTGTAGTGTTGTCAGCCTTCAAAAAGCAACGTAGCATGTAGATTATGCCGATGTCTGAGGATCTTGATTTATGCACCACTGCCCACGAAATACGCGGAGAGGCGTTAAGTTTTCTGTGTGGGTGGTACGCTTTCTGTTTTCATATGCATTCGCCAAATCAGCTCCTGGTGATATTTTTATTTCCGGTGTAATAAAAGTCGACAATCAATGATGGACGTTGTAGGTTAAGTCAATAATAACATGTGTTCTCCTCCAACATCACCTGAACCCTACTTAAACCCTTAACAGTACGGTTATTTCATATGAAATTAAAACGAATCGAAACAAAACATTAAGTCGCGTAAAAAATAAAACAATAAACGTGATGTTTTGCTTGCAGGCCATGCCTGTGAATGAGACCAGCAGCGGTGGTGGCGCTTCCATGAAGCCATTTTAGACACTGCCTAACCATATCTCTGAGCTCGCTCCAGCCTTTCGCGAAACTTCAATTGTGTGCTTCGGTTTTGGTGATCTGCTCAGGCGGCCAACACCTTCAATCCACGACACTTGTGCCTTATCCTGCGTTGCTGAGATGACGGTGGATGATGGTTAGCAGTTGGCGGGGCCGTTTGATAGCTGGCGAGACCCAAAATGTTGAAAAGTGCTCCTGGCAGGCACTGCGGCTTCAAACGTCCCCCGCACAATGCTCGTATATTTTGCCTTTTTCTTTGTCATGTGTTGATGAACCCAGCGGTGTATTCAAGATGCGGTCCGGGGCATGTACTTCACACACCGTGAGCCTGACATTGACCGGGCGTAACTTACCGTAACGTACACTGACCGGGCGTAACTTTACCGTAAGCCTGCCATTGATCGGGCTGGCATAACTTATCGTAGCGGCACACCACTGACCACGGGAAGGGGGCAGAGTTGACCCGTGCCTCCTACTTATCTCAAAACGACGTGGCCGGATTCAAAAATTCAAACGGCATTCGATAGCGGCGCTAAGCGGCTTTGATAAACGGCTTGCGCCGGCCGTCACAGGGCCGGCGCGGCCGACTTGAGCCCAACCGTCCGCTGCCGCGGGGTCGGGCCTTCCTGGCCACTATGTCATTGTTACAGGCAACTGCTTAAAAATTGGGGCAGACAGTCGTTATGGCCGTGTTTAACACATGTTAACACATGTAACACATGTTTAACACATGTTCCATGGATTCATTATCTTGAGTCAGAACTAAAAAAGTTAACCGGAATGTGGTTAATACATTTGATACTTGACATGCCTATAATTTAACTCGCAATATTAAAGCAATAAAGCGAGGCATATAAATGATGGAGTAGATAGCTTATTGACTGGTATTCCCACTTACTTCTTCGTTCGGTTTCGTCGTGAAATGATTTACGGCTATGCGCTTTTACAACACAAAATCGACCACATGACACCATGCCCTGACGACACTCCCGCTTAGTGTAGTCTAGCATCAGAGTTGTTGTTTCGCCACAGCATAATATTGACCAGCTGAGAGCTACTAGATTTTTCGTTCAAATATCTCACGCAGATGTATAAGGCAAACTGAGAATACGCAATTTTCCTCAACACTCTGCCATGATTTTTGGCTGCGGTGAGCTAACCTGATTTTTCAGTGAAAATATACACGATATCAGCACGGTTTAAAACCGAACGTGCGGTTTCGACCATGGTCTGTGCTTATTGGGTGACAGGTTCGTCATCGTCCTGTCTTTGTTTGGTGTGTCTGCACCCTTTTTGTGAGGTATCATGTGGCGCAATAATTTGACCTAGCAGGCCAGTTAGATCAACCCGACTCGTAACGGCGTGTGGTGTATATTTCCTTGACCCGTCCTGTTCATAGGCGCCCGCGCTGTCACCGAGGTGTTTTGTTCCAGGACACGCCCCAATTCCTGTGTCCTGTCACTCTTGTGTTCATCGCGTGACAAGATGTCAGGCAGGTTTGGAAGACCTTCTCCTTGCAAAACTCCCTTCACCCTCGTTTCATCGAGACCCTCCTACGTCGCCTGTACTCATTTTAAAGGTATGTAGTCTTAAATAAATCGAATGTTTTGCGTGACAAATATTGGATCCAAGTTACTCGTGTGCGGCGGTAGATGGATGCTGTTGGCATTTATGGACAGCTCACTCGTACATCATGATAGTACAATTTCCGAGCAACACCGTCTCTTGTCTGTTGGAGTCCAAAATTACATCAGCGCTTCAGGCTCACCCCCTTTCATAACCACTAACCGGCCTGAAAAAGTAGCCAACTGTTAAAGCACAGGGAGCGTACCAAGTCGGTGCGGTGTGGTTGCCATGGCGACTGGCCGCTGATTGGCTGGCCTGGAGCCTGCGCGCCTCGACAGCTGTTTCCTCCCCTCCGACCGCGGGGCGGATGGCACATTGCCAGTTCTGTGGAAACACCGCCGTGGGTTGGCAGTGCGTACGGGCACGTGTGTTCAGTTCCAGTTTTATTCGGTTTTACTGGTCGCTTTTACCTGAGTTTTCGTCTCAGTTGCGAGGTAAGCATCTTGATGCCGTTGCAGATATTCTACAAGCGAGTATAAGTGTTTATTTCTCGTTGGTTCTGTATAAAACATTCCATGGATCGTGTTCAAGAGGAGCCCGAGCATGCCAGTCTATCGTATGCTTCCCTAACAGGCACGTGCTCACCGGTTTTGGAAAGTGTATCATTAGTGTGGCCGTTTGACTTCTGCGCCCGGTGCTGCGGCTGAGGCGACGCCTTGTGATTGGTGCCCGTCCAGGCTGCGTCACCTAGTGCCCGGGGCGGCGTCCAGACCGCGCCGCGGGCGGGATAGCGCGCTGCGGGAGGGAAGTGCCCGGGGTCGGCGGGTTACACCAAGGATAAGCTGCCGCTCGTTTGTTGATAACTGTTACCAGCGCCATCCCAGTGTCTGTGCATGATCACCACTGTCACGTACTCGGAGGTCTGCAGACGCTGATAACCTGCTGGACACTTTAACCTGAGGGAGTTAACACGTGATTCGAAGCTTTTGGACTGTCTTTTGTAATGTTGGTTCTTGCATTAGTGTAAGCGCGTTCGATTAGCCATGTATAATTTGGTAATATGCGTCGCCAATTATGTTGATCAAAGAACTGGGCAGTTGCCCGACCTGTTTGACTCGGAAAGGGCATCTGGACCTCGTCAGGAAGGTCACCATTTGGCTGCGTCGGCCATGTGGTAGCATTACACGGCACGTAAGCCTCTCCCGTAATGTTTTGCTTTAAAAACTGGCGGCCAGATGGACCAGAGCGGTGGCTGGACTGAGTCCGGCACAAATGGCCGATTCAGGGCACATGTATACGCATGTCTGGGAAGTACTCCGAACTCAAAAGCACCCATGCATACCCTCTGTAATGAATGCATACAAGCTGAATGGCACAATTAAAGCTCATATTTCGGAGCGACATAACGTACAGTATACGCTTATGTTGATAAGAGCTATTGCTAAATCCAAAATTTTCCTCAAATGCGTGCGATTGGTAATAAAGGGATCGACGACGAGTGCAGAGCCAGATTCAGCATCAGTTCTTCCGCATCCATGCCGGAATATCGTTCCAGTTACCAGAAAACGTGATTTCAGCGGACGTTTTTCACCTTCCTGAGTCATTGACCGTAGTTTACTTCCCGCCCTGTTGTAGGGGCAAGACGCTGTTGTCACTGGGACTTAGAACGCAATCAGCAGCTGAGCCTACATGACATTGCCTGTCTCTCACAGAGACAGGCAGGGAAAGGAAGCCACCAAGGGGCAAAAGATCTGCTGATTGGTTGGTGTGGCGGGATAAAAACATGCTCTCTCCCGATAATTCTTCCATTTTCGCGCTGTCACTGTGCCATTAGAGGGGGGAAGGGGAGAGATTGAGAGGTTAGTGAGCGGAAGAGATTCGGTGGATGGTAGCAATAATGTATCTCTGGCGAGGGGCGGGGGAGTAGCGGTAAACACCGAACCGCATCGAAAGGGCCGCAATTGCAACCAGCTACAGGGATATAGTTTTGCACAGTAAGCGGAATAAAGGTTTGCAAAGTAAGCTGGGGGGGGGGGGGGGGGAAGCAGGTAGAGCAGGGCCAAACAAATTGGGCAAACTTGCCTTCGAAATGCGCCACAAAATTTCTCCTGGATTTGACCCGGCTTCGTCTCAAAGTTGGGAGGGGGAGCCGGAGCTCACTCCAGGCGCATTTGATTCGGCCGGAGAATCGGAGCGAATGGTGCGGCGTAACTCATCTGTAAGGCGAAACAGGTTTGTAAAAAAAAATTTAGGTTGATAGTGATGCCACCTATAAATAGATGTGTTGTACTATGTGCAATGCTGTAGGAGAGCAAAACACGACATTTGTGTTGTGTTGTGATGAAGGCATCCCATCTGCTGTAGCGATGGAACGGAACGGACCAAGCCGCAGACATTATGGGACATTAGACACGACGGAATGGAGTGGACTATCCCAAGCCGTAGACATTTATGAGACATTAGACGCGACTGAGGGACGTCTTTTCCCACTTTTAGGGGCTCTTATCTCAAGTTTTCTCCTTGCAGAGTCGCCAGTACTACATCGCCTAGTTGGGCTCGACTCAAAATATATATTTCCCCCAACGAGAATTCGTATTGCGGCTCGATTCGGCAACAGCCATGTTTTTCGCGCGCCGAAGCCGCGGCACGCTCGAAATTGCGTACATTTCCAGAGCGAACGCCCGGGCGTAAACAACCCGGCCGCTTCGCTCTCGACGTAGCCACAAAGGGAGCGGCTGGTGCCGAGCCGCTCGGGCGACCCCACACGTGTGCAGCTGGCGGGCGGCCAAGCGTGCCAGACGGCGGAACACCTGAAGCCGCACGCATCTGCCGCTCAGGGGAAATGCCAAGTAGGCGCCGCCGCTGGGCCCCGGTTCGGGCCGTGGGGTGGCGCGGCGTGAAGGTGACGATGCCGAGGCCTCTGCGCTCGCGGCGACGGTCAGCACGTCCGGCCTTCATCCCCCCCCCCCCTCTCCCCTTATGTCGGGCGAAATGGAAGAAAATCGGGAAGAATGCTCCAAATGTCCGTTCTGTACAGAACAACTCCGAAAAAAGTTGAACGCTGGTTGTTGAGGAAATCGAACATGGCGCGGATAATTGATGTGACCGGTATCGGCAGGATATGTGGTCTTAAGGTCGCGCTATTACCAAAATACGCCAGGAGACGCGACCTTGTGTGACCATTTTCTAAGTACGTTGTTGTCCATTTTAATTTCCTTTGGCTTTTGGCGAGCATCTTTGCCATTACGGTATTTATTATTTACTTTGTTTTATTTTAAAGGCTTGCCAGAATGGTTGACATAACTCTCCCGTGCTATGTTGGCTGACGATGGTTATTCTTGGCAGATTAATGGCGTTTCCCGCTGGTGGCGGTATTCGTGCTGTTTTCGGCTATCAGTTTTCTTACTTGCGTACACGGATGGAATAATTGTTCGCACCATCGTACTGGTCTGATGTGTTAGTATGCACACAACGTTTCAGCCAGTTCAGCTTCCGGTCGTCGTCGGGTATTATGAAGTCTAGAAGTACTGGATACTGTTTGGCTTTCAGCCACTTACGCGTCACAGCCCTAATTCTCACCTGAGCATAGCGTGGATTTCGTTCCCGGTTGTCTCAGATGGCAGTGCATTGGACTCGCGCTCTGGTTCCTGACCCTGGTTCGAATCACAGTTATTCCGAGGGGAGAGTTCGGCTTGTGACGGTAACATGGCCGAGAACCAAACACCACCCGGTCTTTTGAACTTTTAAGGACATCTTTAGGACACACTTTCAAGGATTGTTAAAGACATCATCCAGTCCCTCAACACCTGACGACACGGCCCGCTTAAATGGCCGATACGCTGTATAGATACTAATACATCAGACGAGAACTATTAGTTCTAATAATTATTTCACCCATGATACTTCTACATGTAGCTAATACGTTGCCCCAATCCTTCCTTAAAAACGACATGTGCAATCGAACACAGTGTGGGTGTCACCGGTATTTTTCGAGGGCATACTTGCTATCGCTCAAGGCTGCTACATCGACATTATGAGCTGGGAGTTCTTACGCTGAAAATATGTGACCAGGTCCGGTTGCGAAGTTCAGGGTGCGTTGTTCCGTCTGGCGTCGGGTCGCCGGAGTAGCCTCGGGTGGGCGTGGTCCGTCCCGGCCCCCTCGCTGGCGGCGCCAGGGGCCAGATCCATCAGACGGCGCCCAGGCTGCACCACGCGTGGCTGAGCCCACCGGACGTACCCGAGATGCTGCAGGGGGCGATGTTTTACGACTGTTAGGGCTTGCCCCCCCCCCCCCCAAACTCGTTCTGGCGTTTTTTGGGCGTCTTGTAAGGCGTCGTTCACCTCAAATGCGTGGTTTGATAAGGTACGTGTTTGTGGTATGTTCTCCTGGTGCTCGGTTTTCCTTTGTGTCAGGAATTTTCACTTTACGCCGTCATAATTCTGAAAAGTTTTAACCTCGGCACGGGCCGTATGGGAGCCGGGTGCGTAGCATTGATATTGTATTATCAATATTAGTGTTCATTGCAGTGCCCTAGCGTGAAAGAACAAAGTATGGAATTGACGACACAGATAAAGGGCACTTGTGAGAACTTGCAGATTCATTCGTGCATAATAAGGGCGTATCTGTGCATAGAAAAACAACTTCGGTGATAAAACTGCATATTCTACTGGAAACAAACACAATATTGGGCCTATCACATTAGCATGAATAACCCAGACACCAGCAAACCAAGCTGCCGGGAGGCACCAACCCGCACTTAAGCACTTTCCATGCATACGCCACCAATTCCTCAACAGCATTACACCCCCACGTTCTTAATGCACCGGTATCTGCACCACGCGGCACTGGACACGGGCTTCAGGGGCACCACACTGATGTCTCGTTGTAATGAGGAGATGCCGCAGTTGACTGCTCATTGGTTGGGGATTTGGATTGGTATGGCAAGATCGCTAAATGAATTCAAACTGCGCTGCACGCACAGCAAACTCTTAAACACTGAAGTCTGAAATCTGAACAAGTCCTTACCGTCCAGTCCAACTTTTACATAACCATGTGCAAGGCCATAACGCAACAGCCGATGGAGAGCGCAATAGTGATAATTTTTCAGACGGCCGAGTTTTGTAGTAAAAGGATGTTTGTTGTATAAAAATAGTTACTTGCGTTGCATATATATATATATATATATATATATATATATATATATATATATATATATATTGATGGGCCCCAATCATTTTAAATGGCACATGCACTTCATGCGTCCTTGTGCCGTTGGTCCGGACATCTCGTGGCCGGCGCGTGTTTTATGCGGCCTGTCGTGTGGATACTGTCCCGGTGCGACTTGCGGCGAAGGGCGGGCGGCGCCGTGCGGCCGTCGTGTCGGCACCGATGCCGCCCCGCGCCGCGCTTGTTTGCCGCTGGCGGGGATGGCGGCCTGGAACAATGCGGCCGGTCGATCGGGCCGCCTCTGAATGCCGTGTCGGCCGGCAGCTGATGACAGCTGGCACGTTCGCGGACACACAATGGGCGCAGCCCGGCCCCAGCGACCATCAGCGGCGCCCGTCCCGCGACGCCGCCGCCGCTCGCGCTCGCTCGAGTTCACCGCTCGTTAGCTAATTGCATTGAACAACGC